ATAAACCATAAAAACAAACCTGTGTGTGTGTGTGTGTGTGTGTGTGTGTGTGTGTGTGTGTGTGTGTGTGAGATACAGTGAAGACAGCGTGTTAGTTTAGAACTCTTCTAATTTTTTTTTTTAATTGTAGAGAGTGTTAATTTCTGCAATAACCTACCAGCAATGTAAATGATTTTTTAAATATATTAGAATGAGTACATTACAATATAAATGTATTAGAACGAGTACATTATTATTTATGGGCTTAAAAACAAGATGCAAACAATCAGAATATTGTACCTGGTGGGGAGTGCACAATGTAAACATGAAACATATGCCATTACCTATATTGTACTGTGGTACAGTTATGGAGGCCCTTCATAATGCAGAGGTCAACTGCCTGCTCTGCCAATAGTTAGAAATGGCACTATAGTAACAGTGTTTAATAAACAGTTGTTTTACTAAATTCTGCTGAGGTGAAATTCAGTGCAGTCATGTATCGTGATATGTATCGTATTGTGGCCTCTGTATCGTGATACGTATCGTATCGTGACATTGCTGGTGATACACAGCCCTACTAGATTAGTCACACTGTTGAGCAGGCGAGTTTTCTGTCAGTGAATTAATTTCAGCACCTCTATGCTAACTTAGAACACTTCTTTGCTAATGAGGTTTTGAATATTGGCACGGTTATTGTAAATACCTGACAGTTTTGACAGTCCTGACACATAAGAGCAATTTTAAGCACAACTTTTAAGACAAGTCAGTCCCCTCTGGTCATTTCAGTAATGCCTCTAGGCCACTCATTCCTATGCAGGTTACATGCATACAAGTACAGCTTCTATCTGCTTGAATTGCGAAAGGCCAAAATCTCAAAAGCTGTCAACATTACGTTTCAATTACATTTTTTAAATGAGCAATAGAGTCTGAGCTTCTTTAGCTCACATCACGCTAAAAACAAGTAGTCCATTCCTACAGCCTTTGCTTTAATACATAATATATTAGTGTGTATGTTGACCTGTAGTTCTGCATGTGTGTCTATGCAGTGTATTCACAGAGACCTGGCAGCCAGAAACATTCTCCTCACCCAAGGCCGCGTGGCCAAGATCTGTGATTTTGGACTAGCCCGGGACATCACTACTGACTCAAACTATGTTGTTAAGGGCAATGTAAGTATTAACTGTCATTACATGTGACATAAACAACTTTAACATTTATTTTATTTGTAGATTTTCCCACCAGGTTTTACAAGTAAATAGACAAGCAAGCATGCTTCTTTAATGCATACTGTGTGTGTTGGATGTGGTTTATTCCAACAGCTTTCTGCAAGGAAATCCCACCTTAATCCAAAACGACAATGATAACTTTATAATACAAGAGCTTTTATCAATGTTGAGACATGTACCAGATATGAATTACCCAAATGTCATACATTGGCAAGAGGTTGATGCAAAACGAGTCATGAATGAGACGATTGAGACGAATAAGACAGTTGATTTATTTTCAAGAATTTGCATAAAGCAGAGCTGATAGCCTTGTGGGCAGCGCTCCATGTAGCGTGGTTGCGACCTGAGTTTGACCTTTCCTGATCACGCCTCCCTATCACTCTCCCACTTCACTTCCTGTCAGTTTTATATTATCCTATCTCAATAAAGGCCAAAATGTCAAAAAACAAATAAATAAATAAACAAAATTTTGCATTAAGCAGAATGCTATTTCTGGCTTCTACTACAGATACTTCATTTGCATCCTGTTTTAATGATCTAAAAGAAGCCCAAAGCAACAAACAGTCATGACAAATTTGGTCTATAGTCTTTAAGTCCGTATTCTTTTTGTATATATATATTTAAAATTTACAGGACAAGTAAGGTAATGTCAAAATTGATACAAAACTGTATGACTGAGGTTTCCAAATGCATGTTTTGATGGCAAATGATTTCTATGCAAGTCACAGACTGAATCCTTCAAGAAATGTGGTTTGTACTATGTGCTTTCATGCTCTGCCTGTGTTGTTAAGGAAGAAATGTTTGTAATGAGGCCCTTCTCTGTGCAGGCTCGTCTCCCGGTGAAGTGGATGTCCCCCGAGAGCATCTTTGAGTGCGTGTACACCTTCGAGAGTGATGTCTGGTCTTATGGTATCCTGCTATGGGAGATCTTCTCTCTCGGTGAGTTAAACCTATCTCATAATTATATTGACTTGGTATGATATACTGTTTTGAATCTAAATACTGACACTCTGCTTCTATAGGGAGTAGTCCTTACCCGGGTATGCCTGTGGACTCTAAATTCTATAAGATGATCAAGGAAGGATTCCGAATGGAGTCACCGGAGTTTGCCCCGAGTGAAATGTAAGTCTGAGCTGTAATTAGTTACATTTCTTTCTGCGAAAAAAAAAAAAAAAAACATGTCAAGATAATGGCATAATTTACCATGTACACACCCTACAACACTGTTCCCAATAACACCAGCGCCGCTGTGTTTTTGTGTTTCAGGTACGAGATCATGCACTCATGCTGGGATGCCAACCCCTTTAAAAGACCTTCATTTAGCAAGATAGTGGAGAAGATTGAACAGCAAATCTCAGACAGCACCAAACATGTATGTCTTCCTTTATTTTCATTAGCTCTCAAAACAATGTAAACGTGGAAGGGTCATTCTTTATTAATTGCATTAAGAGTTGTTTAAAAAAACATTATAAACAAAAAATTATATCATAGAGGAGGTTGTAAAATGTCATGTGATGTGACTCCTTAAAAACATAGATATTATGAATTAAATAATTAATTAGCTTGAAAGATATATTTAATTTTTTTTTTTTTTTCATTTTTAAAGTAATTTCTGTTTTTTTTTTTTTTCCTTTTCGTATAAAAAAAAAAATTGAATTTGAAAAAAAGAAATGGTATAATATATATCTTCAAAACAATTTTAAACCAACGGTGAATACAAAGTATTTTTCTAAGAATGCATGTTTTAAACAAGATTTTTATCTTTCTCCTCTTCAGATTTACTTAAACTTCAGTTCCAGGTTGCCTGTGGCACCGGGGTCCCATGAGGAGTCCAGTTCTCACGTCCAGCGGCTAAACTCAGTCGGCAGTCACAGCACCACCACTCAACCCCTGCTCTCCAGCAACGATGTCTTCTTGGAAGGGACAAGTCCACTTCACCCTCTGGTGTGAAGCTCCAATTCTCAGCAAAAACCTGGCGTTCTGGCAGATGCCATTCATCTCTCTTTGCCCTGGCTAAGCGTCATTGTAGCTGTCTGACATACATGAGGACTTTGGTGGGAAGCACTGATCATAAATCTCTTTTTGGATCCAAGAGCAGTCATATTCTTTCCATTCAACTTTCTCCCAGATTGTGTATATAAGCCCCCCTGCCAGAAAGGACAGTGATGGAGTGCATTCCTATTAACATTTCATGTATTCTTTGGAATTGTGGGATATTTAGAATTTTTGAGAAAGCTAATAATCAATGCTGGTATCATTCCATGGTACTATATCTCCAACGTGAGTCTGCAAGAGGACTGAACTTATTTTCTATAAAATTCCTTTGCTTCATTATATGGGATATATATATATAAACACAAAAATGCTTCTTTTGCTAACTGTCGAGTCTTTACAAGTGATATAAGTCAATCAGGCTGATTCAAGTCTGAGACTAGATGAAATCATCACAGCGAAAACAATAGAAATTAGACTTTCCCAAAACATCTCTGTTTGACATGACTGTCAGTAGCAAAAGTGTCTGGCGTGAGCGTTAACCAGTTATTTTCCTATCAACTATTTCACAGGTCGCAGGCAGCTCATAAATTCAAATATCAACCACATAAAAGGCTACACTATTTGGAAACTATATGTATAAGCAGCAATAACAGCATTGTAACATTGACTGCATGATCATGTTGCTGCGCAAGCCAAAAACAAGCTACTTATTGCATGTTTTGTTCAGGATAGTATTTTGTCAGTTGGCAGCTGAAACTGTTTTATGTTTAAATAGACCAAATTAAGGTGCATTTCAGTTCACTGTCAGGAAAGGTGTTGAGACACGAAGAGGCAATTCATCAATCACAATTCATGGTTTACTTTAAACACTCAGTGAAATATTGGTTACATAGCAGTATTATATTGTTGGCTTGTGTTGTGTTTTTCCTTTCAACCAGGAAGTGTAATTTGGGAGCGCAAAATGATCCACTCAAGCAGTAATTCAAGCTTGAGGCATCAAACTTTTAGACAGTGTTTCTTTTAGGGATCACAGTAGACAGTTTCTTCCACTTCTCCTATGTGTTTTAAGGAAAATATTTGGAAATAATACTTATTTGTATGGCACAGACGTAGCTTGTTTCAACACATTTGAAATGCTTCTTTGAGTAGTTTAACTCATGATGTGGTTCCGTGATGGTGGACTGTAAAAGATCAGTAGCTTCTGTAGCATCGGTCCTGTTCTTTATTCCAGAGTGATTCCACATTCTATGCTCCATGAAACTGGAAGACATAGCAAGTAGTGTTCTTTTGTACATTTGTAAATGTTTTGCTTCTGTTACGTCCAATTTTGTACATAAAAAGTAAGGTGGGGTTTGGTAGTTTCAAGTAGAGACCGCTCTGAGATTATGTCGTCGCTCTGCTTTCTCGTGTTTGCGGAAATCGTGGGTTATCGTTTCCTGCAGACTTGACTCAGTTTGTCTGACTTCTACTTACCACACCAACTGTTGTGCCTGAAATGTTTTCTCTGCTCTTTAGCCAATGAGAATCATGATGTTGAAGGTTGAGCCAATAGAAAGCTGCCTCTGCTGTGTAGAAATGGGTGCCAATGGCTTCTTGTTCTCTGTAGGAGTAGCCAATGAAGGATCTGCCAATAGAAGGGTGGCTTTCAGATGGAGGACAAAAAGAGCGGCTTTCTGTTACTTAGATGAGCCAATAGGATTCTCATTCCACTGCCAAAGGGAAAAGGGCAGAGTATTGATCCGAATATGAGCTACATACTGAATGATTCAGTCGACACCAACCGCAGAACTCAGAGCTGTCCAAACATCAGTAGTCCGGGCACTCAGTCAGTAGCTCATTTCCCAGGTCTCCCTCTGTTCTTTGTGTCCAGCTGCTTCCTCCGGCGGATGTCTCACTTCCACAAAGTCTCAGCCAGGGAGATCCAACTCAGCCCGTCTCCCATCTCCACTGCTCACCCCCTCCTTCTCGCCGCACTGGAACATTGTTCCTGATGGCACTAGCTTTCGCTTCCATTTGCGCTAATGTGTTTTGCGTGTCTGCGGGAGCGTGTATGAATGTGTAAATGCAGGTCATTTGCTGTTAAAATACCAGAGCACTGAAGGGTTCCTCTAGTAGAACGACTGTAGTTAATGAACTTCAGATTGTTTGAATTATAGTGCTGAAGCAAATGATGTTCAGCCGCTACATACTTACCATCACTGTTTGCCCTTTTCTTATATGTAAATCATAATGTTGCTTCTTGTTTTGTTATCACGGTACGTTCTCTCATGTGCTGAAAAGATTTTTGTATGTTACAGTTTGTCATTTCCAGTTTATGTAACTTGACATGATCATCTTCTGTGGTTATTTTGCCTCTTGATTCATTTATTCTTAAGTGCAGTTTTCAGACACACCAGTACAGTTGGATATATATTTAATCCATTAACGTTATATTAAGAGCCGCTTGTCGTTTCAGTATTTTCAGTGATTGTATGACCGATAACTGGAGGAACATATGTGACCCTGGACCACAAAACCAGTCTTAAGTCGCTGGGATATATTTTTAGCAATAGCCAAAAAAAAATTGTATGGGTCAAAATTATTGATTTTTCTTTTATGCCAAAAATCATTAGGATATTAAGAAAAGATCATGTTCCATGAATATATTTTGTAAATTTCCTACTGTAAATATATCTAAACTTAATTTTTGATTAGTAATATGCATTGCTAAGAACTTCATTTGGACAACGTTAAAGGCGATTTTCTCAGTATTTTGATTTTTTTGCACCCTCAAGATTCAAAATTTTCAAATAGTTGTATCTCAGCCAAATATGGTCCTATCCTAACAAACCATACATCAATGGAAAGCTTATTTATTCCGCTTTCAGATGATGTATACGTCTCAGTTTCGAAAAATTGACCCTTATGACTGGTTTTGTGGTCCAGTGTCACATATGTGAAAACTAAACGCATAGTCTGCATAGTCACCACACAGTTCTCATACGCATTTTTAAATGATTAAAAGGTTTTTTTGGCCCCTGAAAAGATTGTTTGTTTAATGTATTTTATTGTATATTTATTTTACAGTTTTTATTTTGAAGACGTGCAAATTCTGTGTGTAGCTCTTGTTACTTCAGTATGTAAATATTTTTCTTTTATGCCAAAAATCATTAGGATATTAAGAAAAGATCATGTTCCATGAATATATTTTGTAAATTTCCTACTGTAAATATATCTAAACTTAATTTTTGATTAGTAATATGCATTGCTAAGAACTTCATTTGGACAACGTTAAAGGCGATTTTCTCAGTATTTTGATTTTTTTGCACCCTCAAGATTCAAAATTTTCAAATAGTTGTATCTCAGCCAAATATGGTCCTATCCTAACAAACCATACATCAATGGAAAGCTTATTTATTCCGCTTTCAGATGATGTATACGTCTCAGTTTCGAAAAATTGACCCTTATGACTGGTTTTGTGGTCCAGTGTCACATATGTGAAAACTAAACGCATAGTCTGCATAGTCACCACACAGTTCTCATACGCATTTTTAAATGATTAAAAGGTTTTTTTGGCCCCTGAAAAGATTGTTTGTTTAATGTATTTTATTGTATATTTATTTTACAGTTTTTATTTTGAAGACGTGCAAATTCTGTGTGTAGCTCTTGTTACTTCAGTATGTAAATAAATAACTGAAACCATGAATCTTGGAATGATTAAGATTATTAGCTTCAAGTTTTCTTTTGCCATCTGAAGCAAAATTATTGGTGTTCTTCAAAAAAAAAAAATAATAATAATAAAAAGTAAAGTAAGAAAAGTTAAAGAGTGCTTTGAGGCATCACTTTGAAAACAAAATGTTTGTTCAGAAAAGAAAAAAATGAAAAGATTACAGTAGAAAAAGCACTAAATACAATAATATACATTGATAAAGGTGTTTTCAAAATGAAAAGGAGATCTATGGTAAAGAAAAAATTGACAAAAATATATAAAAAAGTAATAATATTAAAATAAAGTTGATATATTATATTAGTTTATATAAATGCTGCCTGTCTATTTTTTGAAGAGGGAATCATATCTGACAAAGCAATTTTCAGTAAAATTAAGTAAATTCATACTATTAACAGTGTGTCCCATTTTAGTATATTCTTGAAATAAATACTATCAGTCTGTATCCAATACTTGAACCAAATGATTTTGAACCATATTGTCAGCCATCTGTGGGAGCACGCAGTACACTTTTTGCAGAGTGCAGCAAATGCAACTGTCTATGAAGAATTGCTGTGTCTCATTTATGATTATGCCCAATGTGCTGTAAATGAAGTTAAAACCATAATGTTTGAGACAGCTAAGACGGACTGTGATTTTGGCTTTGATGCTCATTGCAAGGTTTTTTTTTCCTTCGAGTACTTCAGTTAAATTGTTTATTTGGAGTCCTTATCAGTATAGGTTGAAGTGTTTTGTGTATATTTTGGAAGCTCTTAGATGGTACTTGTGCTCTGAGGTGTCCTGTAGACATCTTACAGCTCTCTTGAGCATGTGAATCTCCCAGCACAGTCAGAGTTTATTGTTCACATATCTGATAAGAAGCAAAGGATTTCCCACTATTCAAGATGACCAAAATACATGCAGTGATTCAGCAGCACCTGAGAACTTCACTCACTGCCTAGTCAAAAGACAGCGAGGGAATAAAAGAATAAGGTTTTACAACACACTACAGTTTTGTTGCAAGACAAGAAACACCTGCATGAACTCCAGATGTTGAAGAAGTGATCATATTTACTTAAAGCCGAAGTGTGTAATTTCCATTAGCGCCATGAAAGTGAAAAACAAAAATAATGACTGGTTTCAAACAGGTTTCCAAGACAAGCAGACCATCCTTATTTACGCCCCCTAAATGCAGTCTTACTGTCCCTTTATCGCTATGACATATACACACACTGTAATTCTTGAAATGTGAAGAATTTCATGTTTTGATGCTAGCTAGAAATATATATTGAAATAAAAAAAATTGTTTGTGTTTTTCTATGTTGCCGTAATAGTACTTTCAGTCAGACCCTTCAGTCATAGTGTTTTCTCTAATGAGTGTCCCCTTCCTGTGGTTTTTGTGGCATTGCTGACAGTTTGACCTGTTCAATGTGCTCAGAACAGGACAAGGAGAGTGAAAGGGTTAGATGGATTTATGAAAGAATTGATGAAAAGATAAAAAAAATACTGTGTGACGAAGAAATACAGTGTGGAGAAGGAAAGAAAGGGAGTCTTATGTTGCCAATTGTGACTTGTTTACTCCATAAAATGCACACGCAGCATCCACAACTAAACTATACTGGTTGACAATTACTTGAATGATAATAGCTCAGAATGTTTTTTTATTATTATTATTAATCTGCATTAAAAATTAGATGCATTGACTAACATTCTTTATGGAAAAAAAAGTAATCTTGTTGGGACCTGTCTCTGGAGTTGCAGGAAAATATGAAATTATTAAAATGATGTAGTCTACACACACGAGATCAAGATTCCAGTCATCACAATGGTCTAAAAAGCGGTTTGGTTTTACATAAGGGGTAGGCATTTTGAGATCACATGACCAGCCCAGTCTTGCAATCCGAGCAATCAATGTTTAAATAGTTAATTTCCAATACTCAAACAACTAAATCAGCATATGAGGATATAGTATGACGTCCAAGACCACTAAACAAACAAAAGTCACTGAGGCAAAATAATATTTGGTTATATTTTTTAATTATAAATATTGTTTTCTATTTTTATTTGTGTATTTACAGCAAGTTAAAAAATTTTAATCATTCACTAGTCATTTTAACTCTAAAGGTAGGGAATAGTCATCTATCACATTCCTTGGGTCTGTGCTGATGAAATGTTCAGAGGAAATCAACAATGTAACATACAAGACAGCAGCAGACCTCTATGATTCCAGATAGGACCGTGACTTTATGTAGATAAAGAGTCTTCTCTCTGTTGTTTGGGTTGGCACAGGCTGTCATACAGGCATGAGATATGGTGAGATATTGACATCGTTGTTGCTACCTTCAGTCTAAAATCTTTGACATGATGGAAACATGGGATGTGGGAACAACAAAATATTGGGTTAATCTAGAACCTTGACAGTTGATGTAATCAAGTTGTTTGTTTCTGGCATTCAAACAATCAGCTTGGTTTTCCACGGTTTTATGTGGTTATGTGGTTTTCAAGACACTGGTTTCCAATGTACTCAGGTAATCCAAAAATATTTCTTCATGCTTTAATAATTTTAATTTTACCGACTGTTATTTCCTTGGGCGGTGGATTGCCAGCAGTTTAACTGCACTGGAGAAGCCCACACGAAGGTCTAACGGTGAATAAACAGGGAGTTGCCTCAGGCAGTGTTTGAGCAGTTAAATGATGAAGGACTGCCCCAGGCAAATGAATGTGCTGTGAACATGTACAGGGAGCTCAAGGAAGATTGGTTGTTGCTAGCGACCCTATACATGTGAAAGTAAGTGAGAGTTCATGTGTATGATAAATTCATAAATATATTCATGTGAATATAAATTTCATGTAATTTTATAGTCCAGTACTCTATCCGAGCAATTAAACTGTCTACACTGTAAAAATGGGGTGTGTCGTGACATAATCAATCAAAAACACAGCCAGTCAAAACAGATCTCTCTCTCTGCACACTCTCTCACACTCACAACCAACAAAATAAGTTTGTTCATCACTTGTCACATGTCAGATTTTCACTATATCAGGGGTTCTCAAACTTAGCTCCAACCTTGATCAAACTCACCTGTCTGTAACTTTCTAGTGATCCTGAGTGCATTGATTAGCTTGTTCAGATGTGTTTGATTAGGGTTGGAGCTAAACTCTGCAGGAAAGTGGGCCAGAGTTGAGAACCCCAGCACAACATGATTATAATGGCCAAAAAAATTCACACCAGCAATAATACACAAGATGCAAGGCAAAAGATGTAAACGAAATGGTCAAACGCATTGTGTAATGCATGTTTACAAAGAAAAACAATGGAAAAGCAGCACAGTAAAATGCAAAAACGCATTCTCTACGAACAGCTCCTTAAGATGCAATACTGCCAACTATTATGTAAGTGTTTTTAATAGTCAGCTAATTGATGGAGAATGCATACTTTTATCTAATGCATAAGTTTATCTAATTTATGTTGTGTGTGTCACAAGCAGGGGAGGCCATGGCAGGGTAAACACCACTTCCTGTTTTGTCCCAGCTGCTGAGGAAGTGTGTGTGTTGGAAGTGTGAGTATATATACTGAAGGGCATATTCACCACAAGAGCCACCATCAACCAGTCCAGGACAACACCACAACCTACACACAGCCAGTGACAACCACACACACACAAACAACCTTAAAAGGGTCATCGGATGCCCATTTTCCACAAGTTGATATGATTCTTTAGGGTCTTAATGAAAAAAAACAAACATAATCCACTGCGTCTTCAGCGGCTCAGATGTCGGGAGTAAATGACGACTGCTTTGTTCATTATTACATCCAACAACAGAACACCTCAATTGCTATGGAGCCATTCTTGTCTACATTTGCTCT